ATAGAGTGAAAGAAAGGACAGTGTACACTACACTATTATCCTCCTTTTCATAGTTGAGGACACCTGTGCACTAAGAGCTTGAGTGATTTGCTCACACTAACCTATTACCAAGGTGCTAGGATTCAAATATGCATTTGTCTGACTCAAGCTTTTACCTACTGCTTACCAGGAACTTATCCTGCTTTTGATCCTGTCTTGCCTCATAGGGCTTCCTTGGTAGCTCAGTTGGTGAAGAGTCTGCCTGCAATGCAGGAGACCCTGGTTCAATTTCTGGGCTGGGAAGATCCCCTGGAGAAGGGATAGGCTACCCACTTCAGTATTCTTAGGTTTCCCTTGTGGCTCAGCTGGTAAAGAATCCGCTTGCAATGCAGGAGACCTGGGTTGGGAAAATCCCCTGGAGAAGGGAAAGGCTACCCACTCCAGTATTCTGGCCTGGAGAATTCCATGGACGCTATAGTCCATGGGGTGGCAAAGAGTCGGACACAACTGCGTGACTTTCACTTTCCTCGTATACTTGGAGATGAGGCACCAAGTAGCCTCACCTTCCTTCACCCACAAATTCCATTTTACTCTCTCTGTGTCACTGGTAGAAGTTTAAATCAGACTTTGCAAACAACCCAGGCCAGTTTAAAAGGAAGAAAAGTTGTCTCCGAAGCCTGGATTACGTACTTTGCTTGCATTGTGTGGATTTTCCCTCAAGGATCTGCCTCTCCCTTCATTGTTCTTTCCTTTGAAATCTAACCCAGCAGCCATCAAGACTAGCAGCCTGGCTCCAGAGAGGGGTTATCAAAGGAAGGAGGAGGAGCTTGAACCTCATTTTTAACTTGCTGAACCTTTCAAATTCTCCCTCAAGGCTTCAGTTTGGTAAAAAAAAAAAAAATAATGACTTATGTTTATCCTGGGGAATATGTGTTTTCCATGCCCCCTTAGGAAATATCATCCATGTGTTTCAAATTTATTTTTTGCTTGACTCATCAAAATACTGTTGCACAAGAGACTCTGGATGTCCAAAGAGCTGTCTTTTAAAATAAATGTCTTTTATTTTGTCTTTGGAAACAGCTAATCACATTTTATCAAGAGTCAGCAGCCTTCTTTCTTCAAAGGGTTGAATTTAACACTAAAAAGGTTACAGATGGGGAGAAAGAAGGGTTATTTGCTACCACCAACCCCTTCCACTAATAGGCTGTAAGATGCCAAGGACTATATGATGTGAAGGTTTTGAAATGAAAACTCTAGGAAAATGGTAGCTCACTTAAAAATATTAGCAAAAAGTAATTTCCATATCCCTTACCTTATTAGGGTGAGTTGAGGTTAAAAACGAGAGTCCAGATTCTTCAGAAACTCCAGTTATTCATATGTTAGATCTTCTTTGCCTAACAACTCTATTTATTTCTTCTTTTAAAAAATCCTTTTTGTTTGAAAAAGTCCGTCCTTTGTTATGGCATTAATCTCCTGTTTCTTTGCTCTTGAGTTCCTCCTAGTTCAACCTTCATTTCTACAGTGATCGTTGCTGTGTTTATATTTCTTTCTGGCATTCTATGTAATAATCCTGAGTTTTTCTAGTACTAATTAGTGCTATCCTTTCATATTTTATATGATTTTCTTAGTTTTATTTCATTTTGGAAGATTAGGTTATAGTTTCATCTATTTAGTGTACGTGTCTTTCTGGTATGCTTTAGTTGTCTATAGGGATGCTTTTAAATCTTTTTTACAAAAGCCAAGAAAGATAAAGTGACTTTCCCAAGATGAAACATCTATAAAGTGGCAGAGCAGGTGTTCACACCCATGTTTATCTGACTCCAAAGCCTGTAATCTTCTTACTAATCATACTTATCATATATTGAAATTCTACTGTGTGGCAGACAATTTATAAACAAAATCTGATCTAATGCAGCATCTTGAACACCTTTTTATTACTGATGAAGAAACAAAGGCTTGGAAAGCAGCTGCAGATGGTGTGGGCACTTGTGGTAGTTTCAACAGCTATAGCCTACTAGCTCCTTAGTTTCAGAAGGTAAAGGCAGGTAGCCCACAAATAGTATGATTGCTCCAAGTAATTAAGTTTTCTTTTAGCTCAGTATTTAATTTTGTCTAGAACGTGCCTTTCTTCCTGTGGTGCAATATGGCATGCAATGCATCCAAGTTCCATGTAGCTGAATGGAGGAAGGGATTAACAAGGGGCAAAGAACATGAACTAGCTCTTTCTTAAGCAGGGGTTTTAGGAAAGCTACTATGCAATACTTTGATTTTATTTTACTGGCCTGAACTGAGCCACCTGCCTTAACTTAGCTGTAAGAAAGTCTGAGAAATGTGACCACATGCCCAATTAAAAATGGGGCATGGCAGGATTCTGCTACTAAGAAAGAAGGGGAGAATAGATACTGGTGTAGACAACTACTAGTCCTTACAGAAGGAACTAAGCTAAGTGATCTGATTGCAAGTAATCTGAGGTGTGTTTATGGGCACTCTTTTAGAATGATTCTCTAAACTTTCTCCACCACCAAAGAGAAGATTTCTTCATGACAGAGATGATGTACCTTAAAATTTTTTATTTTACTTTAAAATGTATTTTTGGCTGCACTGGGTCTTTGTTGCTGCACAGGACCTTTCTCTAGTTGCAGTGAGAGGGGCTACTCTTTTTTGCGGTGCTCGAGCTTCTCACTGTGGTGGCTTTGCTCGTTGCAGAGCACAGGCTCTAAGCGCCGTGGACTTCAGTAGTTGCAGTGTGCAGGCTCTAGTCTGGGTTCAGTAGTTGTGGAGCATGGGCTTTGTTGACTAGTGGTATATGGGATCTTCCTGAACCAGGGACTGAACTCATGTCCCCTGTATTGGCAGGCAGATTCTTAACTACTAGACCCACCAGGAAAGACCCTTGATCTACTTTTGTATTTCCAGTTTGTCCTGCAATGTGCTGCACTTAGTAGCTCAGTCTTGTCTGACTCTTAGCAACCCCATGGACTGTAGCTCGCCAGGATCCTCTCTGTCCATGGGATTCTCCAGGCAAGCATACTGGAGTGGTTGCCATGCCCTCCTCCAGGGGGCTCTTCCCAACCCAGAGATTGAATCCAGGTCTCCCTCATTACAGGTGGATTCTTTACTGTTTGAACCATCAAGGAAGCCCAGGAATACTGGAGCGGGTAGCCTATCCCTTCTCCAGGGGATCTTCCCAATCCAGAGATCATACCAGGGTCTCCTGTATTGCAGGCAGATTCTTTACCAGCTGAGCTACCAGGGAAGCCCTTGTCCTTCAATACTTCAGACTTAGTTAATATTATCATGTTTTTGGAAGTGAATATGACGCACTGTTAAAGCAGCTCAAGAAGCCACTTCTAGCAAACATTGCAGAGCAATATGTGTGACTTTCTCTCACTAGACGATCAGTTTCTTCAGAGTCAATAAATCATTGAATCAGTCTTTCTAGAGTATACTGAATGTTGTCTGTGGTATGTATTTGGATGTTAAAAGGTATAAGCAGTATGCCTCCAGGGATATCACTGAGGCCTAATGAAATTCAGGATTCATTAAGTGTTACTTAGGTTGGTGACAATATACAGCCAATATACTGTCAAGGCTGTATATTGTCACCCTGCTTATTTAACTTATATGCAGAGTACATCATGAGAAACGTTGGGCTGGAAGAAGCACAAACTGGAATCAAGATTGCCAGGAGAAATATCAATAACCTCAGATAGGCAGATGACACCACCCTTATGGCAGAAAGTGAAGAAGAACTAAAGAACCTCTTGATGAAAGTGAAAGAGGAGAGTGAAAAGGTTGGCTTAAAGCTCAACATTCAGAAAACTAAGATCATGGCATCCGGTCCCATCACTTCATGGCAAATAGATGGGGAAACAGTGGAAACAGTGGCTGACTTTATTTTTGGGGGGCTCCAAAATCACTGTAGATGGTGATTGCAGCCATGAAATTAAAGATGCTTACTCCTTGGAAGGAAAGTTATGACCAACCTAGACAACATGTTAAAAAGCAAAGACATTACTTTGTCAACAAAGGTCTATCTAGTCAAGGCTATGGTTTTTCCAGTAGTCATGCATGGATGTGAGAGTTAGACTATAAAGAAAGCTGAGCACCGAAGAATCGATGCTTTTGAACTGTGGTGTTGGAGAGGACTCTTGAGAGTCCCTTGGACTGCAAAGAGATCCAACCAGTCCATCCTAAAGGAAATCAATCCTGAGTATTCATTGGAAGGACTGATGCTGAAGCTGAAACTCCAATACTTTGGCCACCTGATGTGAAGAACCGACTCACTGGAAAAGACCCTGATGCTGGGAAAAATTGAAGGTGGGAGGAGAAGGGGACAACAGAGGATGAAATGGTTGGATGGTATCACCAACGCTATGGACATGAGTTTAAGTAAGCTCCAGGAGTTGGTGATGGACAGGGAGGCCTGGCATGCTGCAGTCCATGGGATCACAAAGAGTCGGACACGACTGAGCGACTGAACTGACTTAGGTTGGTGAAAAACATTTTCCTCACTGGCAGGAAATTAAGGACAATCAATATTTGTACAGTATTTTAGTACATCGTCACATCATCTGATGCCATCTTTATTTTTATCCTTATTTTATAGAGGCTCAGGGAGAGTCAAAATATTCCTCTTAGCAAGTGGTAGAACTGGAACTAGAAAACAGATCTTAGGAAACCAAAAGTTTCTCTAGGGAAAAACAGTTCTTCATTTCAGTAAAAATAGTATCTTTGTGGAGAGGTCCACAGCATCCTTTGATTTCACTGTCAGACAGCAGATAAAGTAAGATCGAAAGAAACGAAGGCAAATCACTTTGCCAGTTCTTTGGAATCATAGAACTCTAATCAGTCAACACGGCGACTAGTAGCCGCTTTATAAATGACTACGATTCCCAGGATGCCACAAGGTACGGCAGGCAAGACTTCGACTCCCAGCATGCTGTACTCTGGAACTTCCAGTCCCAGAATGCAACGCTCCTCCTTTCTCCCAGAGGTCCATGAAGACTACAATTCCCGGCATGCAGCGCCGCCCCCAGTTTCTGGCGCCCCGCTGGACCCTGCTTCGGAGAGACCTTTTGGACTCCAGAGGGCGGGCCCTGGAGTCCCAGTCCCCTCTGGGGGACGTGTGTTCCCGGCAGTTCTGGTCCGTTGGGCCTGTCCAGACGAAACATCGAAGGGATGGGTTGGGGCCTGGGCCGGGCTTCTCCCAGGCAGCGTTTGAGGCAGCCCCAATGGGGCCCTCCGGGGGCCTTCCTCCCTTTGAACTGCGGTGGCGGGCGGGCTCGCTGTATCCTGCACCCCTCAGAGTAGGGGCCGCCATCACCATGGCCACGGCTGCGAGTCGGCCCTGCCCCGGAGGGTCGCGGGACATCTTGTGGCGCGTGAGTGCTGCGCGCACCGTGGCAGGCGCTCGTTAGCTGCGGGAGTCGGGCTGGTTTGGGGGCGTTGGTCGCGCGTGCGCGCTGGCCGGGGGAGGGGCTGGCTGTAGAGTAGCGTGGGGAGCGCGTGGGGTGGGGGGAGACCGGAGTGAGTGGTTTCGGGGTTGTGCGGGGCATATTGAGTGGAAGCTAGTTATAGTAGCGAGGGGCGTGCTAAGGAGAGTTGGTTACAAGGTGTGTGTCTATGCGGGACGTCCTGAGTGCAAACTTGTTACTGTGTGAGAGAGGGGTCCTGAATGGAAGCTGGTCATGGTGGGAAGGATGACCTGCATGAGGGAAATGATTCCTGCATGGGAATGGGAAAGAGTTGTATGCCAGGAGGTGTACCTACTAAGTGCAGACATCTCTAATTTGTTGATTGCTTGGGATAAGAAGCGGGAAAGAATATCCGGAATCGGAAAGACAACTGCTGGACTTGGGGTCTGGGTAAAAGCAGGACGGGTATTTTGTCAAATTAGAGCAATGTGGACACTGGGGGCCGGAGGTGAGGAGATACTTCTTTGTGGAAGTTTAGTCAACAGTTCTGCATCATTTCTGTAGCGGACAAAGAGTAACAGGAGTAAGATCCCTGTTAGAACAGTGCTTATACCCTGGCAGCACTGCCATCTACTTTGTTTCGTTCAGTCGCTCAGTCGCTTCCGACTCTTTGCGACCCCAGGGACTGCAGCACGCCAGGCCTTCCTGTCCATCACCTGCTCTCGGACTTTACTCAAACTCATGTCCATTGCGTCCGTGATGCCATCCAACCATTTCATCCTCTGTCCTCCCCTTCTCCTGCCTTCAGTCTTTTCCAGGATCAGGGTCTTTTCCAGTAAGTCAGTTCTCATCATCACATCAGGTGGCCAAAGTATTGGAGTTTCAGTTACAGCATCAATCCTTCCAATGAATACTCAGGACTGATTTGCTTTAGGATAGACTGGTTGGATCTCCTTGCAGTCCGAGGGACTCTCAAGAGTCTTCTCCAACACCACAGTTCAAAAGGATCAACTCTTCGGTGCTCAGCTTTCTTTATTGTCCAACTCTCACATCCATACATGACTACTGGAAAAACCATAGCCTTGATTAGACAGATCTTTGTTGACAAAGTAATGTCTCTGCTTTTTAATATGCTGTCTAGGTTGGTCATAGCTTTTCTTTCAAGGAGCAAGCGTCTTTTAATTTCATGGCTGCAGTTACCATCTGCAGTGATTTTGGAGCCCCCCAAAATAAAGGCAGTCACTGTTTCCATTGTTTCCCCATCTATTTGCCATGAGGTGACGGGACCAGATGCCATGATTTTAGTTTTCTGAATGTTGAGTTTTAAGCCAGCTTTTTCACTCTCCTCTTTCACTTTCATCAAGAGGCTCTTTAGTTCTTCTTCACTTTCTGCCATAAGGGTGGTGTCATCTGCCTATCTGAGGTTATTGTCACTTTTCCGGGCAATCTTGATTCCAGCTTGTGCTTCTTCCTCCAGCCCAGCGTTTCTCATGATGTACTCTGCATAGAAGCTTCCCTGGTGGCTCAGACGGTAAGGCGTCTGCCTGCAAAGGGAGACCTGGGTTCGATCCCTGAGTCGGGAAGATCCCCTGGAGAAGGGAATGACAACCCACTCCAGTACTCTTGCCTGGAAAATCCCATGGACAGAGGAGCCTGGTAGGCTACAGTCCTGGGGTCACAAAGAGTTGGACACGACTGAGTGACTTCACTCTGCACATAAGTTAAATAAGCAGGGTGACAGTATACAGCCTTGACGTACTCCTTTCCCGATTTGGAGCCAGTCTGTTGTTCCATGTCCAGTTCTAACTGTTGCTTCTTGACCTGTATACAGATTTCTCAGGTGGCAGGTCAGGTGGTCTGGTATTCACAGCTCTTGAAGAATTTTATTTGTATCCCAAGTTATTAATACTAAATCTTGTCTGTTCTTTACAACCTTTATTATCAGCTATCGATGTCCTGCAGATTGTGCATCAGAAAGATGGCTGCAGTTTTTCTTTTTTAAACTTTCTTATTGCCACTGCCTTCCTTCAGACACTGACTGAAACCTTTGGCTTGGGCAGTTGGGGTGTGCTGCCTCCTGTTTGTCTGCTGTCTGCCTCTTGTCCCCTCTGATCCATCTTCACTGTAGCCACCTTACGGACACACAGGTGTTATCTTCCAGAGATAAATCCGATTGTCACTTTTGTGCTTAAAATCCCTCAAGGTCTTTTCTTGTATTTATGTATTCAGCAGTAAATCTTGTGCCTCTTATGAGGTGTGTGTGTGTGTTAAGTCGCTTCAGTTGTGTCCGACTCTTTGCCACCCTATGGACTGTAGCCCACCAGACTCCTCGGTCCATGGGATTCTCCAGGTAAGAATACTGGAGTGGATTGCCATGCCCTTCTCTAGAGGATCTTCCCCATCCAGTGGTGGAACCTGTGTCTCTTATGTCTCCTGCATTCGGCAGGCGGGTTCTTTTACCGCTAGTGCCACCTGGGAAGCCCATCTCTTATGAGGTAGGCACTGATAATTCAGACATGAATACAATGAAGTAGGTGCCCAGTTAGGAGCCCATATCTAATAATTGTAAACACAGTTGCAGTATATACATATTCCTGTAATATGTATACACTTTCAGATATTGACATGTCTGTCAAACCTAGGGAGACAGCTGTAAGTTGCTGTGAAATACAGTTGTAAACTAAATGAAACCTTCTTCACTCCCCAAAGTGTGATATTTAATGTGACATCTGACTCTGGACTAAAACAGCAAGAGTTCACTGATAGGAGAAAATTCTGTAGTGGTATGTAATATTGTTAATAGTAGTGACCATTGGAGTTTATAGCTGCGTGGACTGTAATCTGGGTGTAAACATTAGTGATTAACATCCTGTATGAAAGATAAGATTTGCATAACTGAAATAACTGGAATAGTTTAACTGACTTCAGGATTGAGGGATTTTGTTTATTTAATTACAGGTGTTGGGCTGGAGGATAGTTACAAGCATTGTCTGGTCAGTGCTACTGCTGCCCATCTGTACCACAGTATTTGTAATCTTTAGCAGCATTGATTTATTTCATCCTATACAGTGGCTGTATGGTAAGTGATATTCAGTTTGGGGATAACAAACTTACAGGACCCACTTCTCAACATAAAAATTGCATTACGTTTTAACTTTATTTTAGTGTCTGTATTGAGAGTGGCAAAAAAAATTCACTCTGAGGTTCTTAAGCCATTCCCTGCCTAACATAGGCATTTTCACTATATAATAAGATCACTAAACCAGTCAGAGACTGTTCACAGAAACAGAAAGATCACTAGAGACCACATTAATAAAAACTTAATTTTGATTGTCTTTTCTCTTTGACAGCTTTATTTAGGAAATGAACTTGTGAGCTTTCTTTTTAAGGAAGTGGACTAATACTTTTACATATTTAAAAATTATAGATAGAAGATATGACATATCTTTTAAAATTTTTTTCTAAAATTAGGAATACTTCATTTCTTTATTGTGGCTGATAAGAAAGATGAAAAGAGAGAAAAGGAGGAGACTAAGGAACATAGAGTTAAACTGAAAGATTGATGAGAAGGAAAAAATTGTAGCAGGCTAATGTTTCTCAAAATTCTTGGAGACAATAAAATTAATAAATTCATCAAAGTGTAACTACTTTATGTTAATAATAGCTACCAATTATTGCTGCCTACTATGTGCTAGGCACCATGCTAAATGCCTTAAGTATATTCTTTTTTTTGGCCACTCCTCATGGCATATTGGGGTCTTACTTCCCCAACAAGGGATCGAACTTGCACCCCTTGCAGTGGAGAAGTGGAGTCTTAACCACTGTCCCACCAGGGAAATCCCAGGATGTTACTTCTTATCCTTCCTATTAATAACAGCCTTGTATGATAAGAATGAGGTAGTATTCCTACTTAAATGAGGGACCTGAGATTCAGGTTATAAGTCTGTGCAGAGACGCAGCTAGTGAGTAACTGAACTAGGATTTGCATATTGGTCTCTGACTTCAAAGCCTCTGTTTTTTCCACTCCCCCACACTAGAATTTAAAAAGAGAGAAATGTTCGCAGAGTAGATTTTGAAGCCTTTTAAGGTCTTGCCTAAGGCTAAAAGGCACAAATACTCTTGAAATTCTTCCTTGCCCCCTCCCCTCCAAAATGGTAACAATAAATTTCTTTTGCTTTGGAAAGTGGGAAGTATGTTGTTAATTTAATTTTTCAGAAGAAATGCCAGTTTTCAGAGAGTTAAAAGCTTTACCTTATGGCCTTTGGAGAGAGATTGCTGCTAAGGAATTGAAGCCATTTTAAGTTTTTTGTTGAGATATATCAGTCACTTTTTGGGTAAATCTCACAGTCAGATGAAGTTAAGCCATAAGCTAGTACCAGGGTGGCAAGTATTTCTGTAACCACCTTGCCTGTGTCTGCATCACTCATGCTTGTGTAGTTGCAACTTTAGAATATTCAATATTGTAATCTAGAGCCATTACCAGTTGTTATGGATTGGTACTTCAGACAAAAACTTTTTGCCATTTCGTGGGCCAAGGGTTCTTTAATTTTAGTGTCCCTTTTTCTCCAGATTGGATTTGATTTATTCCATTTTTCTCATCAAATATTACTTGTCTGCTTCAACCTTTGCTTCATAAAGTCTTTACAGAAAAATTTAGTCCTTCCTTCCTTATTTCCAGCCACATGAATTAGCTCTTTCACTCTTTTAGCTTAGTGTAATGCTTGAGAAGTTTACTTGTGGATGCTTAATAATTTTTCAGTAATTTTGGTCAATGAATTAAAATTTTAAAAATAATTGGTCTCAGTCTATTTAACAAACATGTCCATATTTTTATTTCTCTTGTTTATGTTTTTAGGCATAATATATATATATTTTAAACTGTCACATTTTTTAGATGGAATATTGATTGTTGAACCACTCTAAAATGTGAATGTATTAGTATTTCATGAATTTTTATTTTTAATTCTGTTCATTTGGTTGATGTACAGATTATTCTGTTTCTAGAAATGTTACTTTTTTAGCTATAGGGACTAATTGCATTTAAGAAGGGCTCTGAAAAATATTTACATTTTAGAAAGAAACTTTGTTGGTATATTACTAAATGTGGTACTTCTCTGTTTTACATGAAATATGTTTTCATATGGTATTATTTGTCTGATGTTATCATCTGGGTCATCTAAAAGAAATTCTGGTATAATTTTAAAGATAAGTTTTTAAATTAAAATTAGAGTTGTGGTTCAAAACCCCCTTTTTATTGCAGTATACTAAACATGACAATATGACTGAACTCACTAATTCATCTCTCTTTTGTTTTAGCTTCTTTCAATGATCTGTATAATTCCTACATTATCTTTTACCTTCTGCTGCTATCGGTGGTAATTGTGATAATAAGTATTTTCAATGTGGAGTTCTATACAGGTGAGTTTTCAAATGTTAACCATCTTTAAAATACCTGGATTTATTTTACTAAGAGCAGACATAATGAGTTTTATATGTGGATGTGTACATCAGAGGCTGTATTTTGTGTCAGAGTTTTAGAATGTATATAGAATTATATGCTTTTGAGTGTCTTATTGTAAAATTTATTTGACTTATACTTTCTCTGATTTTAAAAAATAATTAGCACTCTTAGGACAAATTGTAAGATTCCACTTAAATATATGAGGTTTCTAGAGTAGTCTCGAATTCATGGAGATATGAATTAGAATGATGGTTACCAGGGACTTGAGGGAGAAGGGAGTGGGGAATTGTTCAGTGGATACAGAGTTAATAGGTACAGGGGAAGATGGAAAAGTTTGGAGATGGATGGTGGTGATGGCTGTACAACAATGTGAGTGTACTTTAAACTATATACTTAAAACGGTAATTTTTTAAAATATAACTCCTTTATAGAGTATGAGATCAAGACCAGATGATTTCTGAGTTCCTTTTCAAATATTAAAGTCTATAATTCTGTGATTTTGGTACAACAAAATGTAAAATATAATATGTTTTGCCTTGGGAGAATCACCTGCTAGATTTCAGAGTTTTTTACTTTTTCTCAATTTCTCTCCTTGCTCTTCCTGCCTTTTCAGATTCCTTAAGTCTGTCCTTGAGGTAAAATGGGAAGCTTTAAGCTATACTTCTTTTTTCACTATAACTTCATTCCTCTTTTTAGCTCTTTAGTACTTCCTGGCCAGATATGATATACAATTTCACATTGTTCTCTGGATTTTATAATATACCCCTTTTCTTTGCTTTTCTAATCCCTCCCTACTTGCTGATGGATCTCTTTTTCTATTCAAGCCATCTATGGAACCCCTTGACTCACAGTTAGCTTTTTTGGTGGGGGGAGGGGGGTGGCGGCCTGTGCTACATGGCTTGCATGATCTTAGTTCTCCATCCAGGAATTGAATCTGTGCCCTCTGCAGTGGAAGTGTGAAGTCTTGACCACTGGACCACCTGGGAAGTCTTCATCTAGTTTTTCTAAAAGCCTGACTAGTCACTTTGGCTCATTCCTTCAACGTTCATTATGCATTACATTGTGCCATGCGTTGTGTAGGGATAGGAGATGTTTGGTCCCAGTTTTCCCCAAGAGGTCTCAATGAATACTGAGCCAGTAATACACTGGATAGTAGGAGAGTATATAGGAGCAACATTTACCCAGCATGGTGAACTTCCTGAGGAGATGACGTTTAAACCAAGCCTTGAAGGGAATGAGTATATTAAGTAGACAAGGAAGAAAAACGACTTTCTAGGGGAAAGATATAGCATATAAAAAGGTTTAATGACATCAGAAGGTTTGGTATATGTTCAGAGTATAAGTCAATTACACAGTCAGTAGGTCTTGTGGGCCTTTCTGGTAGGGAGGGAAAGGTGATAGCATCCTGTTTTCCAAATTGTGAAGCACCTAAACCTACTCCCTTGATGCTTAGTTTTCCACCATACTTGGTGTCTATTAAATACTGTAAGAATTAAAAGAAGACTGTGTACAAAGATAGGTCACAGAACCCTGTGCCAGCTGTTTTCAAAGGCCAGCATCCCTCACCTCCTCCCCACTCTTGCCTCCCCTAGTTCACCTTGCAAGCATTTATTTCAGTATTCAGTGTTGTCATTATTTACCTAGTTTGTGGTTTATTTTTCCAGATAGACTATATATTGTCAATTCAAAATGCTGAAATAAGGGTAACTTGCTGGAAGACAGGCACTATCTTAAAATTATTATTATTATTATTATTTTTTTAATTTAATTTATTTATTTATTTATTTTTTTATCACAACCATAGTGTATCTTTTTTTTTTTTACATGTATTCCCCATCCCGGTCCCCCCTCCCACCTCCCTCTCCACCCAATCCCTCTGGGTCTTCCCAGTGCACCAGGCCCGAGCACTTGTCTCATGCACCCAACCTGGGCTGGTGAACTGTTTCACCCTAGATAATATACGTGTTTCAATGCTGTGCTCTTGAAACATCCCACCCTCGCCTTCTCCAAGAGTCCACAAGTCTGTTCTATACATAGGAGTCTCTTTTTCTGTTTTGCACATAGGGTTATCGTTACTATCTTAAAATTATTGTTTATTCCTTTATGGCAGTAAGGGGAGTGGCAGGGCCGGCACTATTTGAGCTGTCCGGAAATCTTAATTAGAAAGAATTGAAAAATGTTAATCATACTATCCTTAGTTTTCATCTCTCTAGATTCTTTGGTTTTTGTTTTTCTGTGTGTATCTGTATTTACTCAGTCTTTTTTCAAATTGTTTTAACTTAGAATGTTTCTGTACTATGTTTTATACTGACTCGGAGTCTTCCTGCCCCTTGGAGTATTTATGCAAGGAGGAGAGGGAAGAGTTTAGGTCCTCTTGCTTCATATGCTGTGGATTATAAAGCTACAGTCTTGTGTTTTGTTTTCAGTTGTGCCTTCCATTCCCTGCTCAAGACTGGCACTGATAGGGAAGATCCTTCATCCGCAGCAGCTCATGCACTCCTTTATTCACGCTGCAATGGGAATGATGATGGCTTGGTGTGCTACAGTGATAACCAAGGGCCAATACAGCTTTCTTGTGGTTCCCTGCACTGGTACTGAGAGGTAATATTCCATATATTTTTTATAAGGATCCTTGTTTAGTTATTAATCCAAACGTGACCTGTATACATTAATAGTTTATGGACATTCTTTACTTTCCAGACTTCTGTTAAAAAGTGCTTTCTCACATACATCAAATGTTTTTGATGTTTTATGTTTGTTGAATTCAATAATTTTTTTAAAACCATCTGTGCAAGGTGCTATTCTCTATGCTGTTGGATTTATTAGAATGATTTACATATGGACTACAAGCTCCTTCAGAGTTGAGAACAGTAGGTGGTGTAAGACATGGATGCAAATGAATATATGGGGAGAGGAGTAGAAATGTGGGAGAAATAGGATGTAACAGGAAGAAAATGAAATGTGCAGATTAAACTTGTGGGAGTTCAGAAAGCAGGGAGGGATCCGTACCTGGCTTCTGGGAGGAGGTGGCATTTAGGTTGGGGTTTGAAAGAAGGATAATATGGGAAGAATGAAAAAATTTTTAAAATAATTACAACTACCTTCTTCAGTAGAACACTTTTATAATTTTAAAACATACACAGTTCTTGAACAGATGACATTGATATAAATATCAAGTTGATATTCTGATTTTAAAAAGCAAAAAAGATTTCTGGAGTAGTCTTTAAGTTCTCAATTAGCCATTACTTTTATACAGTGTTCATGACTACTGAATACTTGATTTCCTTTTGTCCCCCAGTTACTATCAAATAGGGCAGGCTTTTTTCCTAATGTGGTAAATGTTCTTTAGTGAAAGGGTTCCCATGAAGGATTGCCTGCTTGTAAAAGACAACACAGAGAGAAGCCCAAAGTTACGGCATCTCCATCAGGTATATAGCCTTCATTTAGAGTTCTTCCTAGCCCAGATACAGTTTACCAGTAACTAAAAAGCATCATTGCTTACTGTCACAGGAGACATTCTTAACCTTACCCGATTTCCAAATGAGCTGAGCTAGAGTTTTGATTTTTGTTTTGTTCTTAAAATGGGAAGATTTATTAAGGTTTTTCTGCAAAAGTAACAGCCAAGCCCATGCTTCTTAAGAGAAGTGATTAGCAGGAAATTTATGTCATACTTTGGGCCCAGAACCACAGGATTCTTCTTAGTTTTAACTAAAGGTCAAATTTTCATGCATCAGAGGAAAGGGTTTTGTTAATCTTTTGCCCACACTTAACCTAAAATACACCCTTATGTTAGAATTTGGGGCATTTCTTAAGTAATTAAGTCAAAGCTTTTCCTTCAGTAAATATTGAGCCTAAAATGGTGATATGTGTCCCTGGCTATTGAATTAATAACCTCACTTTTCCCTTTCAGCTTAGATAGCCCTGCTGTACAAACCTGCTTAAATGAGTATCACCTTTTCTTCCTACTGGCTGGAGCATTTATGGGCTATAGCTATAGCCTCCTGTATTTTATTAACAATATGAACTATCTTCCATTTCCCATCATACAGGTAAGCTGTCATTTGAGCATTTCCTTATGTCAGAATTTGGCTGGGTTAGAATCGCCCTGGTGATTCTGTATATAACTGGCCTCATCTGATTAATTCAAGATTTGATCAGTGAAACTTAGGACTCAAAATGCCATTTGGAGAGGAGATCTTTGTCTTCATGAGACTTGAGTGTCTGGGAGCTGCAGTTGCCCTTCCTGCTGCGTCTCTCAGAACCCCGCTTTGCTCCACTCTTTCCCTCCTTGCTAGTGGTGGCAGCTGCTGTGACCAGGCAGGGCTGGGGGAGGGTGATGATGACACTCACGCAAGGTACCTCTGTGCGGCTGCCAGCTTCTTTTTGAACCTAAGAATCTCAGTAGCCTGAGGATGTACAAGTAAATATAGAACATGTCAGTTACATTCTGAACAAATAAAACGGTTTGATTGGTTTGAGTGGGATAGTTTAGACTGTCTTTCACTTAGGTTTTTAAAAATCCACTAATTGGGTAGAAGCTGTCCCCTCCTGTGGCAGGAGAGAGAAAGGTAGGTTGAGGTTTCTCCAGTGCCACCAAGGCTCTCTGGAGCCTGTTGCCGCTGTTCTTGACTGTGCTGTTATTCGCTTCATTCCTGCTCTACAGCATACTGAATACTGGGCTTTGGAGTAAAACTTAGAACTAGCTCCTGCTAGGACCCAGTCTGGGAGGGAGAGAGTGGGGGAGGGATGTATAGATAAATGATATGCCACAAGAGGGTAAATATTAGAGTGTGATGGATTAGGGTTCTCCTGGTTTAACTTAAGTTTTCACATGCCTGTTGCATTCTTGAGAACAATCCGATGAAAATACACCTACTGCAAAGAAATAGCACTCACAGGCAAGAATGTGGCGCTTACCCCTCTGCTGTCTGTGAGCCTATGACAGGGAGTCCTGTTATAAGTTCTTCACATCTTGTGAAGGTGAGTTAAAAGCAGAGTGCCGTCTTCGCTACCTCAGAATATTACAAGGAGAAAGATCCCCAAATCCTGGGAATCATCTTTGATCCAAACATCATTAAGAATATAGAAAATGAAGAAAAGAAAGTACTAGAGAAAAATTAGATTACTTCCAAATATCTTGCTCCTTCATGGACTTCAGTTGATAGTGAGAGCCTGTTTAACATCACAAATGTGTAAGGGAGTGAACAAGGAGAGTCCAGTATTGATAGTATTGATAAATTATTGTTTATACCATGTAATGCACATTTGTAAAATTTGACAGCTAAATTTTTTGTAATTTCTTTTGATAAAATTTTGGATTCACTCTTGTGTATTTTTCCAGACCCTTCATTGTATATTTATAAATATAGTAGCTGTAATATTATATATTTGATGGTTTGGGGTTTTCATAAATACTTTTATTTTGCACATATTATTCAGTAACTACTTTTTCATGTAACAATATGAAAAATTAGATCTTTTTAAAAATATAGTATTTTAACCAATTTGCTGTTAGTCCATTAGGTTTTTTTTTTTTTTTCTTTAAACTTGCTTCTGCTACAAAACTCAGTTCTGTTGCCCTTATTAAATTCTTAATGACTGACTGATAGGGAAAAGCACAACATTGGTGTGGAGCAGGGTACAAAGAAATGGATAAATACCAAGATAGGCTTGGTAAGGTATACACCAACAAGACTATTTGAAAATTTATTAAATTAGATAAGATTTATATAGCCGGACACATAGTGAATCTTTGAAAAGGCAAAGGATAGCTCATAGCCAAATCACCGAAGAACCCAACAAGGAATTGAAAAGCATTTCATCTTAGGAGCAGTAAGAGGGTATATTAGCTTTCTCTGTATATCTAACTGCTTCTGTAGCCTCTCTGGACCCTTGTAAGTGATGGTTAAGGTGAGAGCTGCAGTAGTAATAGTATAGGAACTATGCCCTTTTTGTTGGAAGGTGAAGGTGAGATAGTGGTAGCACCCAGTGACTGCATGGAATAGGTGCAGTTCTACATCCTGAGCTTTGAAAGTAGTAATACACCAGGATACTTCAAGCTGTATGGTTAGTGACCAAGTATTCATTTTTATCTGGGCTGCTTTTTGTAAGATACTGTTGGAATCTGCAGATAGGGTATGAAGACAAAACCTCTACCTAAGGACTTTGCTGTCCTTCTGTTTCTGAAATCCTTAAAGAAGGACCAGCCCTAATACAAACACAAAGGAAGACTAGAACTTGGGAAGTCCATCTTTGGTTCTTCAAGTTTCCTCAGATCCTCTCCAGTAATATACAAATATTTTTCCCATTGGCATTTTTAGGGTACACAACCCTTGTTTCGCAAGAAGTGTAGTTTTTTCAGAAAAAACCTTTCATATTTTTTCTTGCTTGATTCTTTACTCTTAGATTGTTAGCACTGGAAGGCCCCCACTAAGGAGCTGTTTAACTGGTTCAGCCGTATTCTCTCTCAGGTAGTTAGATAGGTGATGGGACTTACTTGATGTACAGAAAAAGGCAGATTATAGCTCAAGTCTGCTGAGCTTAGGCTTGTGTCTTCTTTACTACCTCCTGTTTTTCTGCAAACCCCATGTGAAAAATTTTAGTGTAGAGGCATTATACACTATCTTTAAGGTTTCAGGCTCTGAAGCCAGCCAGCCTGCATTAAAATCACAGATTTTTGTTTTGCTAACTGGTAACATTGGTTAAATTACTTAACCTCTTTGTGCCTTGGTTTTCTCAGCTGTACGATGGGCATAAAAATAGGGGGTTGTTGTGAGGTTTAAATGGATTAATACATGTAAAGTGCTTGGAATAGTACCTGGTATGTGGTAAGTGTCCAAAAAGTGTTAGCTGTTAATTATTATGTTTTTTATACTTAACTCCATCTTGATATTCCTTACTATATTAGGTTGGTGAAAAAGTAATGGCCGTTTTGGACCATGAATTTTAAACCATTATAACTAGGCTGAAACACATCTTTATTCATCAAAATAGGAACCATTACAGTCAACACATTTTTGCCAACGAGAAATAAGTTTGTTTATTCTCGTACTATAAAAATCTGTGCTTTGGGATTTAACAAATTCTTGGAAAGCATTTTCTGCCTCTTGCTGGTTGTGGAAGCATTCTCTCTGCAAAAAGTTCTCAGGATGCTTTAAGAAGTGGTGGGTGGTTGGCAAGAGATCAGGTGAATATGACGAATGAAGCAAAACTTTGTAGCCTGGTTCTTTGAACTTTTTAAGCGTTGGTTGTGGGATGTGCAGTCAGATGTTTTGGGGAAGAATTGGACCCATTCTGTTGACTGTTGAAGTTTTCAGTGCATCTCATCGATTTGCTGAGCATACTTCTCAGGTGTAATGGTTTCGCCAGGATTCAGAAAGGTGTGGTGGATCAGATAGGCAGCAAGCCACCAAACAGTGACCATGACCTTTTTTTGGTGCAAGTTTGGCTTTGGGAAGTATCTTGGAGCTTTTCAGTCCAACCACTGAGCTACTCTTTACTGGTTGTATAAAATCCCCTTTTTGTCACTCGTTATCTGATCGGGAAATGGTTTGTTGTTGTGTAGAATAACAGAAGACAGCACTTCCAAATGATGGTTTTTGAATTTGCAGTCAACTCATGAGGCACCCACTTATCAAGCTTTTTGACCTTTACAGTTTGCTTCAAATGCCAAATGATCACAGAACAGTCGACTGTGAGTTCTTTGGCAGCTTCTTGTGCAGTTGTAAGAGGATCAGCTTCAGTGATCCTGTCAGTTGGTCGTTGTCAGCTTCTGATGGCTGGCCACTGCACTTCTCATCCTCAAGGCTTTTGTCTCCTTTGCAAAACTTCTTGAACCACCTCTGTACTGTACTTCATTAGCAGTTCCTGGGCCAAAGGCATTGTTGATGTTTTGATTTGTCTCTGCTGCTTTATGACCCATTTTCAATAAGAAAATCGCTCAGATTTGCTTTTTGTCTAACATCATTTCCCTAGTCTAAAATAAATACGAAATAAACAGCAAGTAATGAGTCATAAGCAAAAAATAAATAAATAAAGCAAGAAATACACCTTAAACATAACCACATTTATTTAAAAATGTATTCCAATATCAAACAGCAAAGTTCAACAATGCAAAATCACAGTTACTTTTGCACCAACCTAATAGATTGATACTGTTAATTTTCTCATTTCTGATGTCATATAAATGAGGTGCCATATAATAAAGTATTAAATATTTTAACATCAGAGATAGTTGATTTTTTTTACCTCTGGAATAGACTTTGTCTTTTTATGTGTGAACTGTTGTGTGCTTGCTTTAGAATAAAGTAGAACCTTTCTTTGAATGTGTTATTTGATTCTGGTTTTCTTTTTTTCCACAGCAATACAAGTTCTTACGCTTCAGGAGGTCTCTGCTCTTGCTAGTTAAGCATAGTTGTGTGGAATCACTGTTCCTGCTTAGAAATTTCTGCATTGTATATTATTTTCTTGGTAAGAATTTCTCCTTTTTGATACAGTGTATGTATTAGCTCACAGCTCAAGAAATGTCAGTTAAAAAGCCGTTCTTAATTGTATTCATATATTTCCTACTGATGCTGGGAAAGATTGAGGGCAAGAAGAGAAGGGGGTGACAGAGGATGAGATGGTTGGATGGCCTCACTGATTCAATGGAGATGAGTTTGAGCAAACTCAGGGAAATAGTGAAGGACAGGTAAGTCTGGCGTGGTGCAGTTCATGGCATCGCAGAGTTGGATACAATTTAGTCACTGAACAACAATAACAGTAGAAGGTGTGTGATTAGCCCAACTGATTGCTTGTTTTCATTAAATGTTTAGATTGAAACGTTCAAAGACTATTTAGTTAAGAGAGAATATTGTTAAAGAAAATGTGGCTTATACATATAATGCAGTAATAGCCTTAAAAAAGAAGGAAATCTTGTCACATACTGCAACATGGATGAAGGTTAAGGACATTATACTAAGTGAAATAAGACAGGCACAAAATGACTACATTATCCCACTTACATGAGGTGTCTAAAGTAGTCAAACTCTTAGAAACAGAGAGTAGAGGGGCTGGAGGGAGGGGAGAAAGGGGAGTTGTTCAGTGGATAAAGTTGTTCATTTGCTAAGCTGTGTCCAACTTTTTGCAACCCAGTGGACTGAAGCATGCCAGGCTTCGCTCTCCTTCACTGTCTCTGGGAGTTTGCTCAAATGTCCACTGAGTCAGTGATGCCATCCAACTGTCTCATCCAGTGCCACCTTCTACTTTTGCTTTCTGTCTTTCCCAGCATCATGGTCTTTTCCAGTGAGTCAGCACTTCACATCAAGTGGCCTAAGTTTTGGAGCTTCAGCATCAGTTCTTCCAATGACTATTCAGGGTTGATTTCCTTTAGAATTGATTGGTTTGAACTCCTTGCTGTCCAAGGGACTCTCCAGAGTCTTCTCCAGCACTGTAATTCAAACGCATCAATTCTTTGGTGTTCAGCCTTCTTTCTGGTCCAGCTTTCACATCTGTGCATGATTACTGGGAAAACCATAGTTTTGACTATACAGACCTTTGTCGGCAAAGGGATGTCTTTGCTTTTTAATCTAGGTTTTTCATAGTTTTCCTTCCAGGAAGCAAGCATCTTTTAATTTCATGGCTGCAGTCACTGTCAGCAGTGATTTTTGGAATCTAAGAAAATAAATCTGTCACTGCTTCCACTTTTTCCTCTTTTATTTGCTATGAAGTGATGGGACCGGATACTATAATCTTAGTTTTTTGAATGTTGAGTTTTAAGCCAACTTTTTCACTCTCCTCTTTCACCCTCATCAAGAAGCTCTTTAGTTCCTCTTCACTTTCTGCCATTAGAGTGGTATCATCTGTATATCTGAAGTTGTTGATATTTCTCCTGGCAATCTTGATTCTACTTGTGATTCATCCAGCCCAGAATTTTGTGTGATGTACTCTGCATAGAAGTTAAATAAGCAGGGTGACAATATGCAGCCTTGATGTACTCCTTTCCCAATTTGGAACCAGTCTGTTGTTCCATGTCCAGTTCTAACTGTTGCTTCTTGACTTGCATGCAGTTTCTCAGGAGACAGGTAAGGTGGTCTGGTATTCCCATCTCTTTGAGAATTCTCTACAGTTTGTTGTGATCCACACAGAGGCTTTAGCATAGTCAATGAAGCAGAAGTAGGTATTTTTCTGAAATTCCTTTGCCTTCTCTATGATCCAATGAATGTTGGCAACTTGATCTCTGGTTCCTCTGTCTTTTCTAAACCCAGCTTGTACATCTGGAAGTTCTTGATTCATGTACTCTTGAAACCTAACTTGAAGGATTTTGAGCATAACCTTACTAGCATGTGAAATGAGTGCAGCTGTGTGGTAGTTTGAACATTCTTTGGCGTTGCCTTTCTTTGGGATTGGAATGAAAACTGACCTTTTCCAGTCCTGTGGCCACTGCTGAGTTTTCCAAATTTGCTGGCATATTGACTGAAGCGCTTTAACAGAATCATCTAGAGTTTTAAAATAGCTCAGCTGAAATTCCATTACCTCTACTAGCTTTGTTCAAAGTAATGCTTCCTTAGGCGCATTTGACTTCATATTCCAGGCTGTCTGGCTCTAGGTGAGTGATCACACCATCGTGGTTTTGTAGGCCATTAAGACCTTTTTTGTATAGTTCTTCTGTGTATTCTTGCCATCTCTTCTTAATCTCTTCTGCTTCTATCAAGTCCTTACCTTTTCTGTTCTTTATCATGCCCATTCTTGCAAGTGTTCCCTTGATATCTGCAATTTTCCTGAAAAGATCTCTAGTTTTTCCCATCTACTATTTTCTTCTACTTCTTTGCATTGTTCATTTAAGAAGGTTTCCTTATCTCTCCTTGCTATTCTGTGGGACTCTCCATTTGTTTGGGTATGTCTTTCCCTTTCTTCCTTGCTTTTCACTTCTCTTCAATGGATATAGAATTTCAGTTTTACAAGGTAAAACATATCTGGAGATCTGTTGTATGACAAAGCACCATATAGTGTTTATACACTTAAAAATGGCTGCAATGGTAAATTTTTTTTCTTTTTTTATGATGGTAAATTTTATGTGTTTTTTTTTTAACTTTTTCTAGTTTTTATTCAAGTATTGTTCATTTACAATGTTGTATTAGTTTCAGGTATAAAGCAAAGTGATTCAGCTATATATTAATATATAATATAATATTATACTATACTTCGTGTTATATATTCGTGTCCGACTCTTTGCGACCCCATGGACTGTAGCCTACCAGGCTTCTCCCATAGGATTTTCTAGAAGAGAGTACTGGAGTGGGTTGCCATTTCCTTCTCCATATGTGTTTTTATCACATAAAAAATGTATTCTTTAAAAAAAGAGAAAATATGTCATTTGGTCATTATAATAACATATTACTTTTTATAACATTTTTGTAACTTGCTACTAATACAACAAGTTCAATTCTAAAGGAAATAAACCCTGAATATTCACTGGAAGGACTGATGCTGAAGCTCCAGTACTTTGGGCCATCTGATGTGAAGAGCCAACTCATTGGAAAAGACCCTGATTCTGGGAAAGAATGAGGGCAGGGGGAGAAGGAGCAACAGAGGATGACATGGTTGGATGGCATCACCAATTCAACAGACATGAGTTTGAGCCAACTCCAGAGATAGTGAAGGACAGGAGAGTCTGGCATGCTGCAGTCCATGGGGCTGTAAGAGTCGAACATGACGTAGTGACTGAACAACAATAACTAAGGTGACAGAAATATCTTGTTGATCAAGAAACATTATGGGGCTTCCCAGGTGGTGCAGTGGTTTAGAACCCGCCTGCCAGTTCAGGAAGGCGTGAGAGATTCTGGTTTGATCTCTGGGTTGGGAAGGTTCCCTGGAATAGGAAAGGGCAACCCACTTAAGTATTTTCTCCTGGAAAATTCCATGGACAGAGGAGCCTGGTGGGCTACAGTCTGTGGGGTTGTGAAGAGTTGGACATGACTGAGTGACTGATCATACACACAAAGAAATATTATAGAATATACTAATGTGAATTTTAAGCACAAAGATGCAGCTTATTTAATATAATGAACAGTACAAGTTGAATGGAAGACTTAAATGCAAATAGCAACACATTAATATAAACAAAATCCAGCATTCTAAAATAAATACTCTTTTCAGACTGTTTCTGAACATTTCCTAGTCCTATTTTTCTGTGGAATAATTTTATAAAATTGTTCTATTTATATAGGCCATTCTGTTGTCTGCTGTTAAAAATTTTTAGTTAACTATTAAAAGCATGTAGAAAAATGGATTGTTGTCATTTTAATGTTAACACTTTGTTGTTTTTTGTTAACCTACTGCAGTCAGCCTGGCTGGTACCCTTTGGGCTGACATAGCAGCTGTGTCAGCATATCCATGGTCAGCTAATTCTTCTGTAATTCCAGTTGTATTTCATTCAGATTTTATTTTCAGTATTAACACTTTTCCTTTCTTTGTTGCACTTTAGTCTTTTTGTCCAGTTTCCTCTTTCAGTTTTTCATTTTTGTAAAATGTCATGAGCATTTATCATGGGAGATAAAGAGGCAACACAACTATATTCTTCGCTGTCTGTGCCAGAACTGAATAAGAGATGTGACCAATCACTAACAGTACTTTGAAAAAAAGAATGTCCAGCTGTTGTCTATATGCTGATTTGTGTACTACTGAAAAGCTAGAGTACTATATTCAGTTACATACAGCTGATGTCAGTAACTGAAATTTGAATTGTGTTGTTGGGAGCTGGTGTTATTTAATTAAACTATAGTAACTAAAATATGTATATGTTGGACCTATGCAAAGCAAGGACTGTCTAGAAATTACTCTCTTTTCCTGCCCATTCCTAATCCAACTCTAGCATTTTGACTGAGGTCTTTGTGTCTACTTGGTCATCTCATCAATCTCATATTCCAAAGCATGATGGTTTATTTTGTTAATTTTTTATAATTATAGCATGGTTTTTTTTTTTTCCCCCCTCTCAGGTCATATTCCCAAAGCTTGGATTAGCACTGCCATGGACCTTCGGGTAGATGAGTAAGTGTCGCATGAAAAGTCTAATTTTAATTATCTTAATTGTTTCCATCCTCTTAGTTTGCTACTTTGCAGATGTTTTATTTAAATTTAGCCTTTACATGAAAGAAAATTGTATTCAGAGGCTTCCTGGCAATCCAGTGGTTATGGCTTCATGTTGCCAATCCAGAGGGCATGGGTTCGATCCGTGGTGGGAGAACTAAGATCCCACATGCAGCATGGCCAAAAAAATATTATTAAAAGAATTGTATTCATTTTTGAATATATATATATATATATATATATATATATATAGTTCACATAATTTAAAATGCCAATGGTATATAGAAGGGTATACAGTGACTCTGTTGGACCCAGTTTCTAGTCATCCAGTTCCTTTCCCCCAAAATAAGCAGTGATAATTTCTTTTTTGTTAGATACAGCTTCTATATAAGTGGACTTGAGTTCTATAGGCATACCTCTCTTGTTTCTCTCCTCAATAATCATTCTATGCTATGTTATAGTAGATAAGCACCATACTGTGGTTTTACTCTTAATTTTGCCTGTGAGGAAACCAGATTTGAGTTGGGTCATGTGGCCAGTTGAAGTTCCTAAGTAGCAGTGGAGTGACAGCACTGGGGTTTATTGTTCCAGTTTTTTCCATGTGCACTTTGCACATAGGTAAAGCTTTAATTTTTATTTGGCAAAAAAACAAACTTCTTTACTAGTATTTGTTCTTTTAATTATTGGTTATTCCACCATGATACTTTTTGTATGATCTTAACTACTACCACTTAAATAAAAATAACACTTTCATTGTTGTTTTAAGAAATATTTCTTTACTTATTTGACTGTGCCAGGTCTTAGTTGTGGCATGTGAGATCCAGCTCCCTGACCAGGAGTCGTACCTGGGTCCCCTGCACTGGGAGCATGGAATCTTAGCCGCTGGACCACCAGGGAGGTCCCTAACTGCTACCACTTCAGAGAAGTGAGAATATTGACATTTATGAATGTTTGTGATATTATGATTTCTGCACTGTAGATTTCATTTCCTAACTTGTAAAAGTTTCTTGGTAAAATTTACTTTTGTCTTCTGCTTAATCACTAGATATGAAACCAAATGGGCAGGTCACTTATTATCTTAGCCCAGAATTTAAACTTGGTCAAATAGAAAAAGAATGATATTTGATAGAAATTTAACATAATAGTTTTTTCCTCTTTTCCCTTAAAAACTGTTTTGCTTATATGACAATGTATGGTATTCTGGTCTTAACGTTTGCCAGGTCCTCAGTAAAGTTTATTTAAAAGCAGAAAAAAACATTATTTCCCCCCCTCCCTCTCCCAGCCCCAAGGAGTGTCAAGTACTATGCTGGGCACTCCTAACATAAACTGTTTTAAATCTCCTAAAAGCCCTAAGAGGTAGAAGGAAGAGATTATGCCAACATATGGATGAGGAAACTGAGGGTAGGTTAGGTCAAGTGATTAACAGAATCACAGCAATTACAAATAGCAGAGTCAGAAGTTCCAGTCCTATTTTCACAGGTGCTAAGTGTCTGTTTGTAGAATTATGATGACATTGCAAATTGAGCTGTTCAAGGTTTTGGTAAGATTGCCTGTGTTCTCTTTATTTAGCTTTCTTAAACAGAGTTTGTTAAATTGTTTTAAAAGTAGAGTTTGTTGTTTTTAGATAGTACTTTGTGCCCTTAACTGTTATGAAACTGTTTATGCATGTATACAGGTAGAGTTGAAATCTGGTCCAGGAGAGGTGCTAATCTTGTTGAATGGTTTTTAAGTATCAAGCTACAAAACAACAATACTAAATTTTACCCAGCCTCTTGGGGAGTCTTCCTCTGTCATAGAAAATGACATCGAGGATTTGAAATGCAAGAAACTGAGAGCCAGTTTAGGTCTGCTCTTCCTTTAAGGCTCCCTTGTGTACTTAATAAGAAAGTATTAGTTAAAAAAAAAAAAAAAGTATTAGTGAAAGAACTGTATAGAGTACAAAAGAAGAGGAATTTGTCACCATTATTGTTTAGAAATAGGATTTGCTTCTCAGTATGGGGCCCCAGGTTTCTTAAATGCTTAGATTGTAGTCTTCCCACAGGATTAAACAGTGATTTCTGTTTTCATAGGCAGTTTCATAGGCCTCTTGACACTGTGAGTGGCCTCTTGAATCTCTCGTTACTCTATCATGTCTGGCTGTGTGGTGCCTTTGTCCTGATGACTTGGTACATCTCATGGCTACTCTTCAAAATATATGCCACAGAGGTTAGTATTGAGTTTTTTGTCAGTACTTTTCTGTTTTGGAGTGCAGAGGTTTATTTTTGGTAGCACACTCATCAGCATGTTGTTGTGCCCAAAGCCATTTTGCAAAGTTGGGTTTCGGTTTTTTCCTGAGACTTCACAATAAATGTGTCAGTTATAACCACCATTTAATTATAGTGTTTTTTGTTTTTTGTTTTTTTTCCTGAGGAAAAGTATTAGTATTTATTCTTTTTTTTTTTTTTTAGTATTTATTCTTAATGTTAGAAAACTAAACTGAATGAACAGTTAGTTAAACTTGGCTATGAGTTATCTCTAATAACTCATTTTCCAATTCTCTTTGGAAAGTTTCCATTTCTCTATTGAGCATATACTAGATTGGCCTGAGTTTTTAATTAATTTATATGTTACTGATATAGATACTATTAAAATATTTAAATATAAGGCAATAAAAATACATATTCTTTGAAGGAAATTTTAGAATTTATGTTGAAGAAATGATTTTAAATGAATAGGAATAGCATTGTCTTCATCATTCAACTGTTTGTCTTAGAAAATGAGTGTTTCTGTTTTATTTTACCACTTCTGTAGATTTGTATCCTTCAGTGGCTTCAGAGAATTTTTGTTTCTTAAATTTGTTTCTATTAGTGGAAGCCAGGGATCTAGTAATTTTGGGAAAGTAACATTTTAGAAGGTAGTGTATTTGAGTATATATAACTTTAATGCTACCTGTTTTTGTAAGGAACACTAAAGATGTTAAATTTGGTTGTCTTGTCTTTATAATGAATTTCAAATAGTGCTAAATATACTGAATGTCATTAGTGCTGATATACTGAGTGTAATTTGTCATGAAAACAAGTCATTGCATAGTCTTTGTATTTAATTATATTTGATAGGTTCATCTGTTCCCTGTTCAACCACCATTTTCAGAAGACTCAGATGAATGCCTCCCAAAAGTTTTAAACAGCAATCCTCCTCTCATCATAAAGGTACCAGAGCTATGCATTTTGTGTATTTACATAGTCATCTCTAACTTATCTTATGGAATGATTTTCATATTTAATATATTTATATTTTTTGAAGGTCTAGAATATTCTAGTACTGTAAAAAAGTATTGTAAAAATCACCTACATGCTACATTGAATGTTATTACTTTTTCCAGCTTTCATTCCAGGTGACTAAAATGCAAATATATATTGCAATGTATATGTATAAGCTAGACTATTTCTATGTTTAGGAGAGATTGAAAAATATTTCAAGTATGAAATATAATGATATACAATGATATACATTGGTTTTTCACAAATTCCTCATGGTAGCAAAACAAAACACTTTTTTTTTTAATCATTGGATTAGGAAATATTTTCACTCATATAGTATCGTTGACTGTTATGATCAAAGAATGTTTGTTAGGATCAAACAGAGAGTACATATTAATGAACTCTCTTAAAGTTTGAAATGATGATCTGAAACAAATTTTAATCAAAAGTCTAAAGAATTTGTAACATGTTTCTAAATCAACCTAAGTGAGAATAAATTATTTTGATTTTGAAATTTTAAAGTAGAACTATAAAATATATGTGATCTTGTTAAAGAGTTCATAGTACTTAAAAAAGAATTAAAGTAGAACCTAGAGTTTGGATTACACTCTAGAAAAGTAGTAAACTAATAAGAAAATGACCCACTGAGGTTCTAATTACCTTTAAATATCAATTGTGATTAGTTTATTAGATAAACAAAAATATCAAATACTCATTTGGTTATTTAACAGATCTGTAATTATTGGGCACATGTCAGTCACTTGCTAGTTGCTTAGGGTGTAATGATGAATAAGGCAGAGCACAACCTAATGGATAAGGCAGATACACAAAATAATGAAAATTTACTGTGTAAGTGTAACGGGAACCACTTACTCTGCTTGGGACCCAAACAAGAAACCTTCACAGAAGGGATGGTGTCTTGAATGATGAGTAAAGTGGTTTGTCAGGGAACAAGATGAAGATATATCATAAAAAAGCACAGAGTATGTTGTGTATCTCCTGCATGCTGGGTACTACCTTGGGATGTGGTAGTGAGCAAGGTGTTGTCCCTGCCTCACAGCTTAGTGGCTGGTACCAGGTGAGACAGCTAAGTAGGCACTTAGTATAAATTACAGTCAGTACAGCGGTTGAGAGCTGTGTGAGTATGTTTTTGTCAGGGAGGCCAGGGAAGTTCCAGGAGGAAGTGATGTTTTATGTTTCCCACCACAAGGTGGGAAGGAACATAGTCCCTTTCTGTAGTTCCTTGGTAGCTGGAGCCCATAGTGACTAGGGTAGCCTACGGAGGTTAGAGGCAGGGAAGTGAAAGTCTTGAAGGAAAAGTTATGGTTCTGAAAAGTCTTCGCTTCATGAAAAATTTCAACTGATTTCCCCTTAGATATGTAGTGTTGAGCCCCATTCGTAAATAAGATTTTATAGAGAGAGTAAAAAAATTAAATAATGTGTATTTTCTTTCCTTTCAGTATTTGGCCCTGCAGGACCTGATGTTGCTTTCTCAATACTCTCCTTCACGAAGACAAGAAGTTTTTAGCCTTAGCCAACCAGGTATTGCTAAAAGTAATAGACCTAATAGGAGTTGAGTATGTGTGTGCAGAAAGCAATCTATTTAAAATTTGTGGTGAGTGAGATGTATTTATTAAAACATCACACATCAGTGAGTCTGTTAAAATATCGATTTGAATCTTATACAGCTAAGTGTTTACATTATTGTGGTTAAAAATTATGTTTCTAGGGAAAGTATTTTTCAACTTTTATGTTATTTCCTTCAGCCCCCCTCTTCCCTTCACCTAGAGAAATTGTGAGGTAGGCTGACAGTTTCAGAGCAGAAGGGTACAGTTTAAGAATCCCGGAAGTTTTAATGCTACAAAGGGTCTTAAAAAACAGTGGTCTGATTCTCTGATAGAGGACCTAAGTCTCAAGAGAGATTAAGTGGCTTAATAAAGTTAATGTCAAGAGTTGGATTTAAGAAATTCTGTTACTTGACTCTTAAGTGCAGAGCTCCCTATTCCAGCCATACTCCTTTGCCTCCCTGTAAAAAGGAGTGTGAAAAGGAACTAGATTTGATGGTGGTCTGTCCAAGGATGCTCTTGGCAACTATGGAACAATTCTCCACTGTTACTTGCCAAGCTCCTCAAGGTTGCAGCTGTGCCAGTAATGCTCCGCCTAATTGTTAGAAGGAAAGCCTTCCAGCCTAGCACCAGTGGGAACAGAACTGGGTGGCTTTATATCTCTCTAATAAACTTTTCATTATTTGGCCAAACTTGTCAATTCCCACATTATAAAATAAAGCTATAGTTACATGCTACATGGTAATAAAATCCAGTTATATAAAAATATAAATTTTTATATTTATATTTATCTCCTTTTGTGCTGTCCAGTCACCAAGTCATATCCGACTCTCTGTGACCCCATGAACTGCAGCACATCAGGCTTCCCTGTCCTTCACTATCTCCCTGAGTTTGCTCAAACTCATGTCCATTGAGTTGGTGATGCCATCTAACCGTCTCATCCTCTGTTGCCCCCTTCTCCTTTTGCCCTCAGTCTTTCCCAGTATGAAAAAAATCCACTGCTGATGCTATGAAAATTAACTGTAGCAATTCTTTTCTAGTAGGCTTAGGTTTACTTAAGAATTCCCTATACACTAAATGTTTTCACCAGATATTCAAGTAAACTGTAACAAGGTGGCCTGTTCTCTGCCAAAGGACATATTATTAACTGGGCAGAGAGATAGAGATCAGATTTGTGGTTACCAGAGGTGAAGGGTAGAGGAGAGAGAATTAGATGAAGGCAATCAAAAAGCACAAACTCAGTTATAAGACAAGTAAGTACTAGGGATATATGTGCAATATGATAAATATAATTAACACTGCTGTATATTATATATGAAAGATATTGAGTGTAAATCCTAAGAGTTTTCATCACAAGGAAAAATGGTTTTTTTCCTATTTGTTTAATTTGTATCTGTCAGAGATGATTGATATTTGCTAAACTTACCGTGATTACCATTTCATGATATATGGAAGTCAGATCATTAGGCTGTATATACCTTAAACCTGATACAATGCTGTGTGTCAATTATATCTCAAAACTGGAAGAAAAAAATGTAATTGGACCATGAAATAGTTTGTGGTCCTAAGTTATAGCAGAATAGAACATCCTGGGGCCTATGGTTGAAGTACTGTGTTTGTTTTCAGGTTAAGTGGTATTTCTCTTTTGAGCTGTAAATAGAGGGAAAGATTAAGGAGGGACCTAAGTGAAGAGAGAATGATTTATTTGGCGCCCAGGATGGAGAAACCACTTTTCAGTGGATTCCTCTGCTGCTCTGAACACACAGTGAAGCACAGTTGAATTTACATGACAGCTATAGGCGATAAAGGTTTTAGAAATCAAAAGATGGTGAGAAAAGAATTAAGAGTGTGGATCACAGTAGTTTAAATTAGTGGGATAGCAGATTCATAAACCCTCTAAGTACAAAGTATGATCACTATCAAATAATGTGTTGCTTCTGTAGATACAATAGCAAAATAGGGGCTCTTTTGCAAATGAAAATGTAAGGAAGCACAGTAGGTCAGCCACAGCAGTTTAGGAGGTCACTGGGGGCCATGGGGTGCATCTCATTAGACATGGTCAGTGTCTTAGTCTTTGGTCCATTCAGTATTGCTAGTGAAGTAACCTGGGTCTATTTCACTCAAATCGTGTTCCCGTGTTTGGCTTTATTTTAGCAATCAATTTGAGAGTTGTGTTTTTGTTTTTTTTAATGGTAAAATAGCAAATTTTGTTTTGTAGACTTTTAGGAAAATTATTTCACCCAGATATTTATCGAATTTCTGTTACTAGATGGCTTGAGTATAAATAATGCCTTAATAGTAGAAAAGTGGGCCCTACTGCAAAGTGTAATAAGCATTTCTCATTGATATTTCTCCCCATTTTGAGAGGATACTATAAGATTATCTTCATTTTAAAAGCTGGTATTTGGACCTCTTAGGTGGACATCCCCACAACTGGACAGCTATTTCAAGAGAGTGTTTGAATCTTTTAAATGATATGACTCAGAAACTTGTGCTCTGCCAAGAAGCTGCTGCTACAAATGGGAGAGTGATGTCTTCATCATACCCAGTGGAAGCTAAGAAATCGAATTCTCCAGGTAACTCCGTACACTACTAAGAGAGGGGAAAGCAGTTACATTCTGTTTCATAAGAAAGATAACAGTAGTTGGTCTAAGGATTAGATTGTTTGTAAGTGTGAAGTATATATTTTTAGGCAGAATTGATCCAATGTATGGGATATTGAACTGAACCAAGAAGGCAGCCTGAGTATCATTGTAGATTGAAAAAATTAAGTTCATTGTGGTGGTAGTGTTAAAAAGGCTAACACATGTTTGTCATTAAATGGAATACTTCAGTTTACCCTGATACAGAGCCAAGGGAATCTTTACAAGTAGTAGTGGATGCTGTTCTGATTGCAGTATCCCAGAGGTAAAAAATTGCTGGAGTGCCAGAGAGAAGCAACTGAAGTGACTCAGTGATTTAGGGATGGGGCGTCACATTAATTGTTTTAAGGTAGCTAAATGTTTGAAAGATGAAAGCTAAGAGGAAGAAGTAGAGGTGGAGAAACCTATGCTATTTCATGAAACACCTCAAGTAGGTGATACTTAGGAATGTAAGACTGAGAAAAAGACTTAATGTTCTGATGCCTTGGGAACCAGGCATTTAAAGAAAATGGGCAGAACTAGCTGGGTGAGGACCATGGTAAACTTGGGGGCATAGGCTTCATCTGAAATGGAAAACTATGGGTTAGCTTTGATTCATGGTTCCCATGTGAGAATTTGGACCCAGTATCTGAACTTCTGATACTGGAGGTTTGTAACATTGTACAGGTGGCAGTTATCAAAACCATGCTCAAGAAGAAGAAATGCAAAAAGGCAAAATGATTGTCTGAGGAGGCCTTACAAATAACTGAGAAAAAAATAGAAGCAGAAGGCAAAGGAGAAAAGGAAAGATATACCCATCTGAATGCAGAGTTCCACAGAATAGCAAAGAGAGGTAAGAAAACTTTCCTAAGTCAACAGTGCAAAGAAATAGAGGAAAACAGTAGAATGGGAAAGACTAGAGATCTCTTCAGGAAAATTGCAGATATCAAGGGAACATTTCATGCAAGGATGGGCATGATAAAAGAAGTGGTATGAACCTTACAGAAGCAGAAGATCTTAATACAAGGTGGCAAGAATATACAGAAGAACTATACAAAAAAAATCATAATGGCCCAGATAACCATGATGGTGTAATTACTCGTCTAGAGCCAGACATCCTGGAGTAGAAAGTCAAGTGGGCCTTAGGAAACATCACTATGAACAAAGCTAGTGGTGGTGATGGAATTCCAGCTGAGCTGTTTCAAATTCTAAGAGAATATACTGTGAAAGTGCTGCACTCAATATGCCAGCACATTTGGAAAACTCAGCAGTGGCCACAGGACTGGAAAAGGTCAGTTTTCATTCCAATCCCAAAGAAAGAATGCCAAAGAATGTTCAAACTACCACACAACTGCACTCATTTCACATGCTAGCAAGGTAATTCTCAAAATCCTTCAAGCTAGGCTTCAACAGTATGTGAATCAAGAACTTCCAGATACACAAGTTGGGTTTAGAAAAGGCAGAGGAACCAGAGATCAAATTGCCAAGATCTGCTGGATCACAGAAAAAGCATGAGAATTCCAGAAAAACATCTGCTTCTGCTTCATTGACTGTTCTAAAGCCTTTGACTGTGTGGATCACAACAAACTGTGGAAAATTCTTGAAGAGATGGGAATACCGGACCACCTTACCTGCCACCTGAGAAATCTGGATGTGGGTCAAGAAGCAGCACTTAGAACCAGAACAGCAGACTGGTTCCAAATCGGGAAAGGAGTACTTCAAAGCTGTATATTATCACCCTGCTTATTTAACTTATATGCAGAGTACATCATGGGAAATGCCAGTCTGGATAAAGCACAAGCTGGAATCAAGATTGCCAGGAGAAATATCAGTAACCTCAGATATGCTGATGACACCACCCTTATGGCACGAAGTGAAGAGGAATTAAAGAACCCCTTGATGAAGGTGAAAGAGGAGAGTGAAAAAGCTGGCTTAAAACTCAACATTCAAAAAACTAAGATCATGGCATCCAGTCCCATCACTTCATGGCAAATAGATGGGGAAACAATGGTAACAGTGACAGACTTTATTTTCTCGGGCTCCAGAATCACTGCAGATGGTGACTGCAGCCATGAGATTAAAAGATACTTGCTCCTTGGAAGAAAAGCTATGACAAACATAGCATATTAAAAAGCAAAGACGTTACTCTGCTGACAAAGGTCCTTATAGTCAAAGCTATGGCTTTTCCAGTAGTCATGTATAGATGTGAGAGTTGAACCATAAAGAAGGCTGAGCGATGAAGAATTGATGCTTTTGAACTGTGGTGTTGGAGAAGAGTCTTGAGAGTCCCTTAGACAGCATGGAGATCAAACCAGTCAATCCTAAAGGAAATCAATCCTGAATATTCATTGGAAGGACTGATGCTCAAGCTCCAATACTCTGGCCAGCTGATTCGAAGAGCTGACTCATTGGAAAAGACGCTGATGCTGGGAAAGATTGAAGACAGGAGGAGAAGGGGACAACAGAGGATGAGATGGTTGGATGGCATCACCGACTCGATGGTCATGTGTTTAAGCAAACTCCAGGAGATGGTGATGGACAGGGAAGCCTGGTGTACTGCAGTCCATGGGGTTGCAAAGAGTTAGATAGGACTAGTGACTGAACAACAATAACAATCTGAACTTCTGGTCTTTTTCTTTTTTTCTTTTAAAGAGACAGCTGAAGAAGTTTTGGGGGAAATCTACCACTTTTTAAACATTGATGACTAATCTTGATATGTAAAAAAATCACTATATGGGCCAAAGGAAACATGTCTCTGACTTTGATTTCATTATTCTGCTGGCTTCATAGACCACAAACAAAGAGATTGCAGAAGAAAAGTGATCTAGATAAGTTCATGAATGTCAGGTTTTAAAAGATTCTGCTGTGTTTTAGATGTTGTCAACATTCAGATTAGCATTTACTTATTCAACAAGTATTTACTGAATGACTGCCATGTACCAAGCACTACCAAAGAATGAAAGATGCAGAAACATTCTTGGGCCTGACCTTTTAGTGGGAGGCACACAAACGATGACAAGACAGTGTAACTATTAAAAGGAAGTCTGAATGAGTAGGATGATGAGTGATAATGAAAGGAGGAGTTTAAAGTTGGTCCTGTAAAGATGTGGAGCCATTAGAGAATTTGAATAGTTATAGTTTCATTAAATTAGCATTTTAGAAAGATCATTGTAATTCTGAGTTGGGGGGGGATCCTGGGTCTGAGCAAATATGGATTAGTCATTTCTTTAAATTGTTGTCATATCCCATCAGTCAGAATTTACCTTTAATTTGAGGCATAATTAAAAAACTTAAAAGCACTTATCTTGGGACTTCCCTCGTGGTCCAGTGACTAGGACTGCGCTCCCAATTCAGGGGGCCCGGGTTCAATTCCTGGTTGGGGAAGTAGATCTCACATGCTGCAATGAAGATCAAAGATCCTGAGTGTGGGAACTAAGACTTGGTGAAGTCAAATAAATGAATAGAATTTTTAAAAAAATATTAAAAAACAAAAAACCCCACCAGTTTTAATCTTTAAATTGATTCTTTAGCTATTTCTTATTGTCATTTACCCTTAAAAAGTCATGTAGTGAAAATTTGGTACTTATAAATGTTTAGTGTCTTATGCCAGTTTTATTAAAAAGATAGAATACTAGTATAATTTATTGTCTTTGTGCTTTGTGCTGGAGTGGCAGAAAGATGTTATTTTTGTACAAGAGACTCTAATTGGTAGAGTTATAAGATAATTTTTGAAGAAGCTGTTTATAGAACAGATGTGTAGATATCCTGGACAAGTTAATCACTGGTGTGACTTTTGTTAACTTTAAAGAACTCCGGGGAAAATGGGATAAAGTTAGTGCTCTGTACATTTTCACACTATAGATTTGATTTAGCCAAGTAATGGTTACAGTAAGGATATACAGTAACCCAGGGCATATACTAATGCAATAAAGTTGTTGTCATTTAAAAATAAAATATAAGTTCGTTCAGTGCAGCTTAGAGTTGGAGAAATTGACCTTGAAGATGAAGGTATCTGTTTAGGGTAAAAAACTGAGAGAGGCTGAACCAGTCTGACAGAAAAAAATTTATAAAGCTCCTTAAGTGGTCACCAAGATGCAGTAGTAAAATATGGGTGTTGAAATTGTAAACCTATATGGAAACAATCTACTGAGCCTTGGTTAAATGAGTTAAGCAAAGAATTGAGATGTGTAAAATTTGAGAACCTCCACTCTGGCCTACTTTGATTAGATTGCCTCTTCTCAGCACTGGATCTATTCTTTTACAGAAGAAACTGCGTTTCAGACCCCCAAATCTAGCCAGATGCCTCGGCCTTCAATGCCATCATTAATTAAGACATCACTGTTCTCCTCAAAGTTATCTACACCTGATGTTGCAAGTCCCCTAGCCACCCCATTTGGCTCTAGTGTAGTGAACCGGATGGCTGGAATTTTTGATGTAAACACAAACTATGGGTCACCTCAAAGTCCTCAGCTCACAAGAAGAGGGCCAAGATTATGGACTTCAGCTTCCGGTGAGGACCGTTTATTTTCTAAAATTTAAAATGTCATAGTTGCAGAGAATCATATAGCCTAAGTTTTTGCCTTCTTGGTGTTTTTTTTTTTTTTTTTTGTAGATCAGCAAATGACTGAATTTTCTAATCCTTCTCCATCTACCTCTGTTAGTGCTGAGGGTAAGACAGTGAGACAGCCCAATGTGATTTATTCATGGATTCAGAATAAACGTGAACAGGTAGGATGATATGGGTATAGGATTTGTACTTACATATAGCATTGAGAACATCAAGGATCTCACATAAGTAAGCCATCAGGAATAAATAGAACTTTGGGAATGCTTCATATATTAAATTGACCCATATGAAATTACTAGTATTTGGTTTTGAGTTGTACAAATTACAAGTTCATATAGCTTAACCTAATGCAATGCCTTTGATCTATGAATTCTTTCATTTAAGAGATATTTATTGATTTCTTCATAAACTCTGGGTGTGTTTTTAGATACTGGGAAAACAGCAAACAAAAGTCCCTGACTGTATGTTTACGTTCTGGTGAGGGCAGATAGCTGAGCAAGCACATGTATTATAGTTCTGGGTGGTGAGATGAGGTAGCAGGCACCTGGAGCAGCTTGTCAGGCTCATTAGCTGTTGTAAAGACTGAAATTTTCTCCGACTGAGATGGATGACTACTGCATGGTTTTACCCACAAGAATGACATGATGTAACCTTACATTTTGAAAGTATTGCTCTGTTGAGACTAGATCCTCAGGGGGCAGGAGTGGAAGCAGAGAGACAGTAGTAAAGCTATTAAAGTAATCTGGTGACCTGATGACGGTATCTGAATGACCTGAGTGTTGGTGGTGGAGACTGTAAAATGTGATCAAAGTCAGGGTGTATTTTGAAGATAGGTATGATAGGATTTGCTTATGGTTTAGTTGTGGTGTGAAGCAATCAGTGTTGATTCTGAAGCTTTTAGCTCGAGGATCTGAAACAATGTAGTTGCAGTTTATTGAGTTGCAACTTCCTGATGATTCTGGAAAAGAGATTTGATAGAGACGAGGTAGGGAAATCATGAGTCTCATTTTAGACATAGCAATTTTGAGATACTAGACAATTCAGTGAAAATACTGAATAAGATATTAGACATGTATCTGGAGTCTAGGGGAAAGTCCAGGTTAGAATTGAAATTTTGGAAGTCAAGACTCCATGAAAATTTTTAAAGAGTGTAGATATAGAAGAAAAGAGATGCAAGAACTGGAACCCTTTGATGACAAAGTCTGGGAGATGAGGAGGAATAGCAAAGGGGACCGAGCACCATTAAGGTGAGAAAGAACCAAGAAAAGGGTGTTTCAGACAGAAGTGTCAGATGCTGCTGAAAAGAAAAGATGCTGCTATGTCTGAAAAGAAGCATGAGGTTCAAACTAAAAATGAATTGGTGTGCTAGGAATATGGAGGTCATTGAGTCCTTGACAAGAGCTATTGGGTGGAGTAGTAACAACAAATACCTGACTGGCATGGGTACCAGAGAGACTGGGAAAGGAATTGGAAGACACAGAGAAGCTAAATCTTTCAAGGAGATTGACTGTAAGGGGACTAGAGAAATGGGCTAATAGTTGGGGGGACTTGAGAGGCCATGGAAGGGTTTTATTTTTTAAGATGGGAGAAATGACAACATGTTTGTTGATAGAATGCTCAGTTAATAGAGAGGGCAGAACTGAAGGCATTTTACGAAACTTCAGCATCACCTGTGGCTCCATGTGTGTAAATACTGCTGTGTCATGAATTTATTTTCAAGTCAGTTGGGTTATGTAGCTTTTAACATACTGGGAAAATTATTTTCCTTGTAAATGTCAACTATTAGAAAACCACTTCTGTCTTAAGATTTTTTTTTTTTTTTGTAGAGGAAACATGGTCTTTTTTGGCATTAATATTAAGAGGTTAAAGGGTAGGACAGTTGTAGAGAATTGAGAAAGAATATGGTTTTAAGAAATATCACCAGAACTACTTTTTGATTATGACAGGGCTCTAATTTGAGGGCTAGACATGTGTACATGGGAGTCCAGTTTAGGTTAGATGGCCTGTCTTGGTTATCCAATTTATAGTACAAAGGTATTTACTTATGTGGTTTACCTTACCTTTCTTTGTAAAGTGTGATGTGTTTCATTTAAGTTAGTGTCCGGAAGAACCTGGAAATGCGTAATATTATATTTGAGTAGCATCGAACTGCTTATGTGATAATTCTTCACTTTTTTTCCATATCAGGTTAAGAATTTCTTATCAAAACGAGTGCTGATAATGTATTTTTTCAGTAAGGTAAGAATATGTAGTTATAACATTGGGAGTGGGGGGAGAGAAAACGAAATAAGAAATGAAGTAGCAAATAGGATTAGACTCCTCAATATTTAGCTTGATCCTAGCAAGCCAAACAGCTTGGCATCATGCGTCACTAAACCTCCCTTTAAACAGTACCTGACCTAGACACACATCTCCCATCAGTGACTTCCCGAGGCTGGGCTCTAGTGGCCTTCTGGGTCTCTTGGCTGGAGGCAGCTTTATGCCAAGGTGTGGCCCCTTCCTGCAAAGTGAGCAAATCCGTGGCGATCCTTCATGGCTCATTTGTCCTGCTGACATCGTTGTGGCCATTTTGGTGTTCAGAAGAGAGATAACTGGGTTAGACTGCAGGTGTTAAACTGGTTTTGGATTAAAGTTATAATTTAGGCCACAAACTAAACGACTTTCCAGCTTATCTGTAGCTGCCCCAGCTGCTGTAGGAGAGTACATCTCAGAGGTAGAAGCTAAAGATTCATTCCTGTTTTCACCGCTATAGCTGTTGTGTGTCAGTTAATCCTTTGATGAGGAAAACTTTTGCCCATGTATAGGGGAAAGAATTTTTGTTTTAATTATTTTAATCTAGCTTTTCTGTTTTTGCAGATACTGCATTATTAACTAATAGTGCACTTGTATTAATGCCTTGAAGTAAAAGTCTGTATTGGCATACATTCTCATTTTATTCTTTGAGGATCCTACTCTGGTGGTGAGAGAGATATGAGTGACTCTGGTAGAATATAGATACATACAGCAAAGAATCTTTTCAAGTTCTTGAAACTTTTTCCACTGTGGTAGCAGGGAATATCCATGCAACTAGCAAGAATGTTTGCCAGAAATAATCTGTAGGCTTTCCATTAGAGCCCTGGGGAAACCATCAGACCCCTGAGAAAGGTGTCTCATCTTCTTCCAAGAGAAAGAGGAGTTGTCTGAAGTTTTACTTCAGAGTTTTGTTTCAGAAGGATGGGAAGAAAACTTACCTTTTGTCTTTCGTGTGCCATGCTCCTTTCACTTGTTCAGTCGCTAAGTTGTGTCCGACTCTTTGCCACCCCCATGGATTGCAGCATGCCAGGCTTCTGTGTCCTTCACTTTCTTCTGGAGTTTGCTCAAAGTCTTATCCACTGAACTGGTGATGCCATCTAACCATCTCATCCTCTGTCACACACTTCTCCTCCTTCCCTCAGTCTTTCCCAGCATCAGGGTCTTTACCAGTGAATTGACTCTTCACATCAGGTGGCCAAAGTATTGGAGCTTCAACATCAGTCCTTCCAGTGAATATTCAGGGTTGATTTCCTTTAGGATTGACTGGTTTGATCTCCTTGCTATCCAAGGGACTCTCAGGAGTCTTCTCCAGCACCACAATTTCAAAAGCATCAATCCTTTGACACTCAGCCTTCTTTATGGTCCAGCTCTGACACCTGTACACAACTACTGGAAAAACTGTCCCCTCATTTAATTGTGACAGCATTCCTGTGAGGTGTCTTTTTGGCCTCCTCTTCCAGAGAACGAAGCTTGAGGCTCAGAGGGGTCAAGTAGCTATCCTGAGGGCCCATAGCCAGTAAGTGGCAGAGCAGAAGCTGAGTGAGATCTCCTTTTTCCTTGGAAGTGAATGGCTACCTTAGGTTCTGGTTTTGCAGGTGGGTCTGCTGTGGGATAAGGAGTTGTAGACACCACCGCTTAACGTGGGAGATGTAACATGCTGTTGTTGTGAGTGGGCTTCACTGGCTGTATTATGATTGCCACTTACACAGGCCAATTGTTGTTTGACATCACAATACCTTGCTGTATTAAAGACTGTTAGGTGGTTTTTCTTTGTAGTGGGGTTGAGGGTAGACACTTTAGGAGAGGTAGTATATACTTACTTAGGCAGTACTTTTTTTTTTTTTAAAGCATTCATAGCCATTCTCTTTAGGCTTCCTTGGGGGCTCAGTGGTAAAGAATCTGCCTGCAATGCAGGAGAGGCAGGTTCAATCGCTTGGAGAAGGAAATGGCAACCCACTCCAGTATTGTTGCCTAGAAAATCCCGTGGACAGAGGAGCCTGGTGGGCTATACTTCCTGGAGTCGCGAAGAATTGGATACGACTGAGCAACTGAGCATGCATGCAACCATTCTCTTGAATGATCTCTGTGTTAATGCTCTGAGATGGGTTGAGGGAATATAACTTATTTTAAATGAGAAGCTGAAGCACATAGAGATTTAGATACTTGGCCAGAGTCACACAGTAAATTGTAGCAGAATGTTTTATTGCAGTTAAATCATAATGTGTAAGAATTTCAGGTCTTAGCTCTTAAGAGGCAGCTTTTATTATTTTAGTTTACATGATTGATTAGATGAAATGATCATTTCTGGGCAACTGACTTAAATGTTTTTGTCGTATTTCAGCACCCAGAGGCCTCTATTCAGGCTGTGTTTTCAGATGCCCAAATGCATATTTGGGCATTAGAAGGTAAGTAGTCTCAGTGAGTTGCAACAATGATTTATTTATTCATTAAATATTGAGGTATTTAATGAAAGATCAGTTCTGGACTTTGATCTCAATCTTTGAATTTTCAGATACATTTTATGTGTTTGTTTTATATAGATAAATTTTTCTTATTTAGGTTTATTTTAATTTAGAGAATTTCCTTGTATGTAAGTGGAGAAACTGAGCCTGGGGTTCTTGCGTCTCTTTCTCTACTTCAAAAAAATTGCAATTAATAGATTATTTTTTAACCATTGCCTTATGTTGATGTAACTTGCTTGATGTATTTAAACATATTTAGCTTAGGTTTAGTTATTAAAGAACTATTTCTTTTCATCTTACAGATACCACCTTCTCAATGTTTAAATGATACTTCCTCAGAGAGGCCTTTCCTGACCACCCTATGAAAAGTATCCTTACTTTGTCCCCTTATCAGGCTTTGTTTTCTTAGCCTTTATCACTGCCAAACACAGTATTTAAAAAAACTTTTTTCTATTAGAACATAAGTCAGATTCATCTTATTTAAGACTATTACAGTTCAGCACCTTTTCCATCCCTTTTGCCTCTTTTTCTATACTATTACTCCCTTTTTTATTTAGACTTTTATACATTCAGAATATTAATTCTTCCTCAAATAGATGTATTGCAAGTGGATTTGCCTAATTTTGATTCACTTTTAACTTGTTTCTTCTTTTCCCCTCGAGGTCTGTCTCACTTAGTAGCAGCATCATTTACAGAAGATAGATTTGGCGTAGTCCAGACCACACTACCAGCTATTCTTAATACTTTGTTGACGCTGCAAGAGGTAGGCAGTATGTGGGCCGGGGGGTAATAGAGGTCCTGTCTTCTCCCCCTGCCTAGCTTTTTCAGTTTGTTTCTTATATTTCTGAGTAACGAAAAACATGTTGGAAGTCAAAATAATGGTACTTCTCACCGTCAGGTACTTACAGTCTAAGACAGACTAGGAAGACAGATTTTTAATTCATTTATAAGTGTTAATTTTATTGTAACAGAGAAGGTATATTAAACCTGTAGGACATACCTCTGGTATTAATCAGATTATTTAGGGTATTGGAATTCTGTTCAGTACTATAGGTTTGCATCCTTACATAATTTGTAGCTTCTGAAAGTGACCTGTAGTTAAGTTACTTGTGTAAATAAGAAGTTACGTATCGACTGGAGGCGTAAGAAGATAGAGCTGGAAATCAAAACCACAATGAGGTACCATTACACACCAGTCAGGATGGCTGCTATCCAAAAGTCTACAAGCAATAAATGCTGGAGAGGGTGTGGAGAAAAGGGAACCCTCTTACACTGTTGGTGGGAATGCAAATTAGTACAGCCACTATGGAAAACAGTGTGGAGATTCCTTAAAAAGCTGGAAATAGAACTGCCATATGACCCAGCAATCCCACTTCTGGGCATACACACCGAGGAAACCAGATCTGAAAGAGACACGTGCACCCCAATGTTCATCGCAGCACTGTTTATAATAGCCAGGACATGGAAGCAACCTAGATGCCCATCAGCAGACGAATGGATGAGGAAGCTGTGGTACATATACACCATGGAATATTACTCAGCCATTAAAAAGAATTCATTTGAATCAGTTCTAATGAGATGGATGAAACTGGAGCCCATTATACAGAGCGAAGTAAGCCAGAAAGATAAAGACCATTACAGTATACTAACACATATATGTGGAATTTAGAAAGATGGTAACGATAACCCTATGTGCAAAACAGAAAAAGAGACTCCTATGTATAGAACAGACTTGTGGACTCTGGGAGAAGGCGAGGGTGGGATGTTTCAAGAGAACAGCATCGAAACACGTATATTATCTAGGGTGAAACAGTTCACCAGCCCAGGTTGGGTGCATGAGACAAGTGCTCGGGCCTGGTGCACTGGGAAGACCCAGAGGGATTGGGTGGAGAGGGAGGTGGGAGGGGGGACCGGGATGGGGAATACATGTAAAAAAAAAATAAAAAAAAATAAAATAAAATAAAATTAAAAAAAAAAAAAGAAGATAGAGCTGGGACCAATGGATTCCTGCTATGAGGCTGGGTGCATAATTTTAAACTGACAGGTCTTTTTAGTCCCAGGCTTAAAGGAAGAAAAATAAAATATATGCTTCTTGTTTTTCATTAGGCTGTCTTACCTGACTTCATGTCGGGTGATATGTTTTCACTGCCTTTATTGTTAGTTCTGTGTCAGATGAGGTGTATTAATACTGAGGGCTGGGGACATTTGAAGGTAGGGGCTTGGGTGTACGGGTTTTCTGGAGGAAGTATTTCTGAACTAGGTTTGAGGGATAACAACCGGTGCATCTTTGGGTCTTGGGAAGCAATTTAAGATACGAGAGAAAACAAGCTTCGCTCTCCCTTTCTTCAAGTCTGAGTTCATTTTACCTCTTAGAATGTTTTACCCGTCAGAACCACTGATGTTTCCTTCACTTTGTCCTTTTTGTGCCTACTTTCTCATGTATGTCATTTGAGACGTTTATATACCCATGGATAGCTTTAGTATTTGCGCTCACTTCCCAACTACCTTGCTGTAAAGAAAGAATTTTCTACTATTTCCACAACTTCTACTATTTGGCTTATCTAACTGCGCATTAGGGTAACCATGATTATGGGTATATCTTTGGTACTCATAGCATAGCCTTTTTTTTTAATCACTCTAGTTGTGTAGTTTAAAATAAAACAACAGTACAATGTTCCCTAGTCTACAGAGTGATTTCATTTCATTATTTTTTTGAACTTCAGGTCTATCTTATGAAGTAAAGTGGAGATGTTTCGGCCCTGTCTTAGGCATGAAAGGGGCTTGGTAGTGCAGTAGCTTACCTCAGATCTCACACACATCTTAGTGGCAGAGCTGGGACGTGAATGTGATCTCACTGCAGGGCATTAGCAGTGGAATAGACCTCAGGGAACGCTACAGATCCAGTCTCCAAACTTGTCCACCGTCTTTTGCTGGGCTTTTATTTTTGCATAGGTTTTTCTTCAGAGAGAATGGCTCTACTTTTAGAACTGTAACTTTCAAACTTTTTAGACTATGATATATAGTACATTAGACTCAGAATATAGTGGGGGGTGTGTGTGTGTGTATAACAAATAAAAGATTCTTAGAACAGTGCTTACCTTTTATTTTGTGCTTCATTCTGATGTTTTCCACTCATTCCACTCTAATGTTTTCCATTTCATTTTTTAAAAAAATGCTGGTTGAAACAGTTGATTTCACAAGGACCACATTGCCCTAAAGGTATTCTGCACCAAAATTACTTTCTTCTCAACTTCTCACCATCAAAACTCTTAATTCTTCATAGTTGATTATGGCTATGTTAAGGTATGATAAGGAAAGCAAATTTGTTTATTTGGTTGCAGTCATTCTTACCTTTGATTAGGAAGGTATGAATTACAGATTTATTGAAGGCTCAAGCTCTTTTACTTTTAAACAGAAGCTGAATGGAAAATACTATTGAGGGGCAGAGGAGAAAGAGGCAGAGGTATATTTTTGAGAGTTTGGGAAGCGTTATATGGAAGAAAAACCCCTCCTTGTGCGAGACTTGTGGCATCTGTTCTCCCCAAGACAACGTCACAGTCACCCTTTTGGTCATGCTCTGCAGTCATCAGATTTTGCAAACTACCTTGCAGCCTTTCTACCCCATATCCCAAGGTTGAGTGTTGTGAGTGAGTCAGTGTCCACATGGATATTTATCCTACACTTTGACTTTCTCACTGTTGTTTTTTTTTAACTTTTTACTTTGTACTGGGGAATAACCGATTAATAATGTTGTGCTAGTTTCAGGTGAACTGTGAAGAGACTCAGCCATACATGTACATGTAGCCATTCTCCCCTAAGCTCCCCTCCCATCCAGGCTGCTACACAACATTGAGCAGAGTTCCATGTGCTATACAGTAGGTCCTTGTTGGCTCTCCATTTTAACTATAACAGTGTGTACATGTCTACTCCAAACTCCCTAATTCTCCCTTCCCCTCCCCCTTCTCTTTGGGCAACCATAAACTCATTTTCAAAGTCTCTTGAGTCTCTTTTGTAAATAAGTTCATTTGTATCATTTCATTTTAGATTCCACATATAAGGGCTGTCATATAATATTTCTTCTCTTTCTGACTTAACTTCACTCAATAAGTAAGTCTCTAGGTCCATCCATATTGCTGCAAATGGCATTATTTCATTCTTTTTAATGGCTCAGTAATGTTCCATTTATATATGTACAACATCTCCTTTATCCATTCCTCTGTCGGTGAACATTTAGTTTGCTTCCATGTCTTGACTGTTGTAAAGAGTGCTGCAGTGAACACTGGGGTGCATGTATCTTTTCAGATCATGTTATTCTCCGGATATGTGCCCAGGAGTGGGATTGCAAGGTCATATGGTAGCTCTAGTTTTAGTTCTTCAAGGAATCTCCATACAGTTCTCCGTGGCTATGCCAATTTACATTCCCACCTACAGTGTAGGAGGGTTCCCGTTTCTCCACACCCTTTCTCCAGCATTTAATGTTTATGGATTTTTGATGATAGCCACTGTGACTAGTGTGAGATGGTATCTCATTGTAGCTTTGATTTGCATTTCTCTAGTAATTAGCCAGGTTGAACATCTTTTCAAGTACCTCTTGGCCATCTGTATGTCTTCTTTGAAAAAATGTCTATTTAGGTCCTCTGCCCATTTTTTTGAGTGGGTTGTTTGTTTTGATGCTGTTAAGCATCACGAGCTGTTAGTAAATTTTGGAGACTAATCCCTTATTGGTCACATTGTTTGCAAATGCTTCCTCCCAATCTGTGGATTGTCTTTCATTTTGTTTATTGTTTCCTTTGCTGTGCAACAGCTTTTGAGTTTAAGTACCTCCCATTTATTTATTTTTGTTTATATTTCCATTATTCTGGGAGACAGATTGAAAAAATATTGCTGCGCTTTATGTCAGAGTATTCTGTCACCAGTCTTTTACACAGTTTTCAGTCTTAGCCTTTGTCTATCATCCAAGCTTCATCAGCCTGTGTATTGTCCATCTCCAAAGCTTAAAACTCCAGGATTCTAGCTTCTAAGCCAGAGTCCTTGAATGTTTTTGTGCCAGAGATCTCTTTAGCAGTCTGATGAGGCCCATGGACTTTTCCCCAGAATAATGGGAAAAATAAATACATAAAATATAAAGTCTTTCAGATTAGAAAGGAAATCAGTTATATTAGAATATAATTTTGAAAGTATTAAGTTTGTGATACATTAATACATTAAATAACAAGGTCTATCAGTGGGTCTATGGAGAAGGAAATGGCAACCCACTCCAGTATTCTTGCCTGGAGAATTCTGTGGACAGAGGAGCCTGTCAGGCCATAGTCCATGGGGTCACAAAGGGTCAGACATGACCAAGTGACTGAGCATCAGTGGGTCTAACTCATCGTTTTGAAGTAACGATAAGATGAATGGTATTTAACAATAATTACACTAGTGTGATGAGAATATTGATGATTTTTGTTGGTGGCAAAGTTGGAGGAACTACTAATGCTATTGTGATTTACTGTTTCATAATTGAAAGAATTGCTAAGTTTTAATTAGAGCTTAGTAAAGATAAACATGTCATTTTTAGCCCAAAGTTCATGGTCCCTGAATTCTATCCATAGATCTGTGGGCCATGTAAGAGCCCCTGTCTCCCGCATGCTCAGCCTTTTATGCCTTTACTTCTTTTGTACATTCTCTTTGTCTTTGATAATATTTTCACTTCCTTTGTTTTTCAGCTCCCCCCTAGCTACACATACGTCTTTCCCTATCCAGGTTACACCTTATAGTCTG